GACATATCAGACAAGAGTCTCACAATGAAAGTTTACAGAATACTACAGAGGCTACACCAGAAAGACTGATAATCCAATAACAAATGGGGAAAAAAATATAAAAAGGCTCTTCACAAAGAAAGACAATCAGATGACCAACATACACATAAAAAATTGTTCAAAATCTCTGGCAATCAGAGAAAAGCAAACCACAAAGAGATAGCTTGTCACTCCAATAGCAGTAGCAAAGTTTAAAGGACAGCAAGCAATAAATGTTGGAGAGGGTGTGGACAGACTGAAACTTTCAGGCACTGTTAGTGGGTCTATAAAATGGTACAACCACTCTAGAAGATAGTTTGGCGTTTCCTCAAAAAGGAGAACATAGAAATCCCATGTGATCTAGCTATTCACTGCTATGAAAATACCCCAAAGAAATCAGAACTGAGACACAAATGGAGATATGTACACCTATGTTCATAGTAGCATTATTCACAATAGCAAGAATATGGAAAAAGCTCAAATATCTATCAATAAACAAATGGATTGTGAAATTGTGGTTCATTCACACCAGGGAATACTATGCAGCACTAAGGAGTAATGATTTCTTAAAATACTATGAGAGAATCTAGAGAGCATTATGCTGAATGAACTGAATTAGTCTCATAAGGACAAATACTGAATAAGACCATTAGGTAAAAACAGAAGGAAAGCTACAAGTTGTTTATAAATGTCCAACAGAAGAAGGTGAAAAAGGTAGGGGTTGGAAAAGGGGAAGGGTAGAAATCATAGGCTAGCAGAGTTTAGTGGACAAATTGAGTTGGGGACAGTGAAGGAATAAGAAATATCAATGGGGACTTTAAAAGATAGTGTAATAATAGGCATAGATTAATTGTAATAATATAAAATAGAACATATATTGGCTAACACAGAAGAGTTTCAAGAAACAACATACGAGCAATAGGCACTGGTGATGAAGGAGGAGGTTCAGGCTGCTCTGAAGGACTTGGCAAAAAATAAAACCTCAGGAATTGATGACCAATTGACATATTTCAATAAACAAATGCTGCCCTGCACCAGGCTGTGTCAAGAAATTTGGAGGACAACTACTTGTTCAACTGACTGGAAGAGATCCATATTTATTCTCATTCCAAAAAAAAGGTGACACAACAGAGCATGAAAATTATCAAACAATATCACTAATATCACACACTAACAAAAT